TATATATATATATATATATCATATTATATAGATATATTTTGATATGCATAGCGTCAAAAAAAGCTGACAAAAAACGTTACATGCTTTTTTTTAAAAGGGAATATTTCTCTCCGTGTACGAGACCAGTAACTTTTGGCGGATATTTTTCTCCGTGCACATAGGGTTTCCTTCACTACGATTCGTTGAATTAATTTCGAGAGACTTCTACGTGATATCAAATGATTTCAATGCGATTTTAAAATGACTTAGACAAGTGCAGCCACGAGGAACGAAAACCTTCGACGATTAATTAAAAAAAATGACATACCAATACCAGCAAGCCATCTCCCTTCTTCAACACCCTCGATATAAGGTGCCACATAATTTGCGATTTTCCTGATGGTCTTCAATTGTCCATTGAGCTCAGTACTAGTTGATTCAATGGTCCGGGCTTCCTCGAATATTCTGGTGCGCGCCAAATTTATCTCCCGCCGTATATCTGCGGATAACAATAAAACAGACGAAAATACGATGATAAAAGTAAGAAAAAAGGGAGGAAGAAGAGAAAGAAGCTGAAGAAGCTCTTAAAATATCCCTATTTTTTGGTTTCGTTGAAATCCTAGTGAGAAATTCTCTCCCTAGCTATTTACCAACTATGTGTACATGAGGAAGAGCATTATGGATTTCCCATTAGCCGTAGTCGTCGCGTCACCTATTTATTACTGGACCAACTGTGGGACTACAATCCCGGGGATGAAATGGAATAGAAAAAGATTGAGTGTATGTGATATTGTGTAAACATGATACTCCCGTGTTTGCTATCATCTATCACACGCATCAATCTGCAGGAGAATTTTCCCCTCGGTTAAATCTGCTACCGTAACAGAATAAATAGATAAATATTCACTGAAAATAACAGAACAATTTACGTAATTCGCAATAAATAATCGTTTTCTCAAAATTTTCAGGGATATTTTTATTGAAATTTTTATTGAAAACGCGTGAATTCGTGTGGAGGAACAGAAGTGATGATAAAATCGATTCATTAAACTTTCAAGTTGCGATAGTCATGATCGTTTTCCCTTCCACTGTAGCAATGTGCTGTACAGCTTGCCAAGATACTGCCTCTGACCTATTTTGGCGAAAGTTGTCTGACGCCTTTGGACTGCATCTTATCGCTTTTCTTCTCGGTAACTGTGAGACTGTATTTCGGTGGTGGATGATTCTTGAGTTGAGGAAATTTAATCTCAGTGGGCGAGAACTGGATTGTGGTCACAAGTCAGTTGTTGCAAAAAGCTAAGCAAATGCTAGGAATTAAAGTAGCTCTGCCGTCCAGTCGGGCTAAGTTGAGAGGAAAAAAAAAT